CCACCCAAACAAAGTTTTGAAGGCTACGAATCCAAAATGGACAAATTAAAAGAACTGTGTGAAAAAAAAAACCACAAAACACAGGCAGTTGACATGATTAAAGAAAATGGTTTGGTTTGGGATTTGTGTTACGAAAGAGTTCAATTTCATTTTATTAATTTTTTTTTGGTACTGCTACGACCTTTCATATCTAAATACATGCTGACGCTTAGAATTTTGTAATCTTAATTTGTGAAACGTGTCAAAAACGTTTGCTTGTTTTGCAGAATTATTCAACAAGGGCGCGTGGATCTTGCGTTATATACTTGACAACACGATGCCTTTTTATTACACACACACCAGGACCACCTTAAATATCAGCTACACTTGTTACTACAGTCGAGATTAATAGAGTTTGCCTGGGTCTTAGAGTGTAACGAAAGTTGGTCGACACAAAGGTATTATTTTTATAAACAATCTATTTAAACATGTTTGGTGTATCTTTGTGATTATCCAGAAAAGAAAAACGACTTTTGATTGGAGTTGTTATCAACCTTTATCTCACTAATCTGTACTTATTTATTTTTATATAGTAACCATGTATATATTTATGGTAAGGATTAACTAATATAGCATAAACTAACATAGTAATTCTATAAAGATAGATGTCAAAGCCTAATCACGCAGATATTGTTATTGTTAATTTAAAATTAAAATATAATTGGTAAATGATTAAATTGTATGCTATGAAATCAAAGTTCTACCTCATAAGTTCTCACTGAGTCATTTCGTTTCTATAAGGTTTTAATTGGCTCATAATGGTATATGTACATACCTACTTATATATTTTATGATGTGAAAAGTTGTAACTTTTATATTCAACTTTAAAATATTACTCACATTTAAATTTATTAATTCAGAGTTTGAGAACTTAACTTATACATATTTCGCTTATAAGTTCTGAAACTGGTAGAAATTAATAAACGTAATATTAGGTCGTCAAGAAATTAATGTCGCGTTTTGGAACACTTTCATTAACCCCCCCCCCAAAAAAAACCAAAAACAAACAAAAACGGAAAGGTGTTCTTCTTCTCCACGACAATGCACGTTCACATGTGACATGTTTGACGCAACACAATATTATGAAGTTAGGTTGGGAAGTTCTCCCCCACCCACCATATTCTCCAGATATT